GGCTGGTTCGCTAGTTGATAGAGTTGCCAGGTCACGGGGGCTGGGCCAGACAGCTCAGGAGGGAAGGTCACCCAATTCTGCTTTGGGCTAGGGTCACAGTAGTTCTAGAATTCAGGCTGGTACTAGTGTATAATTCATAAAAGACTCTACACGGGGTTGCATTCAGCCACGAGACAAGCTATTCAGTCAAGAGGAATGGATTTTGCGTAAAGAAGTCATCTCTGTCTTATTCTTTATTCTCTCTCCTCTGAGGCTAACTGGACTCTGCTGACATTACCTCCACTGGCTCTGTCAGTAGGGAGATAGCCCTCAGATGGCAGCCTATCATCTTAACCATTTCTTAAGATTTCTAGAGAACAGGATTGAGTCCCAAAAGATGTTGGGTATATCAGCAGGGATACCAAATAGCCCTCAGAACGCAGAGGTTCTACATGAACTTCAAGCCCAAATACCAGGCTTTGGGTTTCTTAGCCTCAAATGAGACTGATCCATGTTCTAATTGGTGATGCCCCATCAGCTAACCACTTGGCTCCATTCTCCCAGTTCAGCTTTTCAACACGGTCAACAGAGAACTGACCGCAGCTCCCAGCCTTCTCTGAGGGCCATGCCATTCCATGGTTGTCTGAAGCCTTGCCCAACAAGCTCCAGACTATCAGCTCAGCCCACCTTGCCAAATGGCTTTTTCTTTTTATTTTCTTTTTTCTTTTTTCTGAGACAGAGTTTCACTGTTGTTGCCCAGGCTGGAGTACAATGGCACAATCTCAGCTCACTGCAAGCTCTGTCTCCTGGGTTCAAGCGATTCTCCTACCTCCGCCTCCCGAGTAGCAGGGAGCCACCTGCTACTAGTAGTAGTAGCGCCACCATGCCTGGCTAATTTTTGTATTTTTAGTAGAGATGGGGTTTCACCATGCTGACCAGGCTGATCTTGAACTCCTGACCTCAGGTGATCCACCTGCCTCAGCCTCCCAAAGTGCTAGGATTACAGGCGTAAGCCACTGTGTCCGGCCTCCAAATGGCATTTTCTTAGAAAGAAAAGCAGAGAGGTAGACACCAAGAGAGTGTAGGCCCCAGGATTTTCAGGACTGGGAAAGGACAATGCCAACCCTGGCCCACACTTTTCCGAGAAGGCAGAGGTCACTCCATCATTAATGTTTGTCATGTTTCTCTTCCCAGCCAGGGCTGGCTTCCTCAGGAAGGAAGTGTGCGGCGAATTCTGTGTGCAGATCCCTGCTGCCAAATTTGCAATGTTATGGCTCTGGAGATTCAGCAATTGCTGGCGGGTGAGAACAACCAGATCTCCCTGACTTCACAGGGGCCATCACAGGGCTCCTCTGGCCTAGAGGCTTTGTCTACGTCTAATGTGTCTTTTGAGCATAGTCAGGATCCGGGTTCCCAGAAATCCAAAGAGCTTTCACTGGCATCTGTAACTCCAACACTGTCACAATTAATGGATCAGAAATCTTTAACCCAGTCAGCTGCCCAGTCAGCTGGTGCAGACAGCGTCCAAGATTCCTGGGCTGATCACTTTCAGCGAGGACAGAGATCGCAAGTCCCAGCTGTGTCCCAGGTCATGGGATCTCTGTCTTCAAACTTTGAGAAGCCTGGAATTCCTCTGAGCCAGCAGGAGAGGAAGAAAAACAACTCCAAATTTGTCCTGGAGAACCAAGGTCAGCAGCCCTTGAATACTAGATTCCCTTTCTTTCCCTGAACCCAGAGCTCCCAAACCTAAAACAACACCTTATGACCCTACATTCCTTTCAATTGCTATTGCAATGTCCAAAAAGTCCTGAGGAATCTCCAAGTACAAGGATATTATTGGCCGGGCACGGTGGCTCATGCCTGTAATGCCAGCACTTTGGGAGGCCGAGGAGGGCAGATCACGAGGTCAGGAGATTGAGACCATTCTCGCTAACACAGTGAAACCCCATCTCTACTAAATATACAAAAAGAAATTAGCCGGGCGTGGTGGTGGGTGCCTGTAGTTCCAGCTACTCGGGAGGCTGAGGCAGGAGAATGGCGTGAACCCGGGAGGCGGAGCTTGCAGTGAGTCGAGATCGTGCCACTACACTCCAGCCTGGGTGACAGAGCGAGACTCCGCCTCAAAAAAAAAAAAAAAAAAAAAAAAGAAAAAAGAAAAAAAAGAAAAGGATATTGTTTCACATATTCCCACATTTGAGGTCTCCCAAGATCTGTGGAGGAGTTCCTGTGGCAGCTTATACCACAGCACTTCTAATTTTCCAAAGGATGGAAAACAGACAAACAGTCATTTCTTTCACCCTGAACGCTATCTCTAAGGCTTCTGTTGAACAGATGAGCTTCCATCTCCTTGACTCTGGGTTTCATGGGAGGTTAGCTGGTCCACCTAAACTTTCAGGGTTTTTGAAGGATCCACCATGGCCTCAGAGCAGAAAATTACTGTGAACAAATCCCAACCCCCATGGCTCTAGCTCCACCCTCTCCCCTCTTTCAGCTTCTAAGTGGCCTCTGTCCATTGCCTGGGGGATGCACTGAGGCCTCAGTGTACCACACCTGTAGCTACCTTACTGTGGTTTCTCTTTTCTGCACATTACTGTCTGCCTTTAGAGATCCCTGGTCTGCCTTTAGAGATCTCCAAAACAGGGGAGCCCTTGGCCTTTTCTCTTCAATGATTTCTCCTTCACCTCTGTACTAATTAAAATCCCCCGTCCTTCCCCATCTTTTCCCCCACATTCTCCATCTGACCATGGACAAACCCAGATCAATGTCCTGTATCTGACTTAGGCTAAGTGAAAGCCTTGCAGTGGCACCTGCTGTAGAGGCAGCTCCAGCTTCAGTGGAGTTTGCCAGCTGTTGTCCAGAAATCTCTGTAGATCCAGGAAATAATACAATGTAAGCCCTGAGACATGTTGCAGCCTTTCCCACTAGATCCAGGACCCTCTTTGATTGGTGAAGTCCATTTTAGTCCTCAAGATGGAGGTAGCATTCTCCTAGACCATGCCCAGAGGCTGCTGGAATTCTACTTCCAGGAGCAATTGAAACAGAGGGTTGATTTGCCATTGCTGGGACCTGATCCAAAAGATCCAGCAGTCTATCCAGTTCCTCCTGTGACCTGATGACCAATAATCCCTGCCCTGGAGCAGCACAACCCTGACCTATGTGGGTCTTCCCAACATGCAGCACCAGAGGCCAGTGGGAATAGTGGCCTGCTCTAATCCACTGTAGCAGGAGGGCCAGTCTGCAATTGTTTCCTCAGGCCAAGGTCATGTTGCAGAGCCACATAGATTACAAATATGGGAAGATATGCTAGGGCATTGTCCCTGCCCACATCTGCCATTGTTGGGACTACAAGTCACTGGAATACACCTTGCAGTATTCCAAGGGCCTGGGCAGCAACTTGGTGCCCCTGTCCTCTGAAAAGCAAACACCTGGACCTGGAAGTGACACATATCAGCCCCTACACAGATCAGGAAGGGACACTCTGAATATTGACAGCCCTTGACCAGCAGCAACAGGCCTTACCAGATGCTGTTACTGATGATCCTGAGCTGCTCAGACCCTGTACCAGGAAGCCACTGAGAAACTTGAGACAAATTTTGGCCTTTCTGTCAGGGCTGCCTGCTCGCTATTATGTGGCTCTTTCCAGGGCTGTGGCCCAGGCACTCACTCATGAATCCACAATCACAGATTGAGCCCATCAGAGCCTCTGACTCAGTCTCATCCAAACAGCAATGTGTAAGTCCTGGGCCATGCTTTCAAAACACCAATGAGGCTTGTGTAGATAATGTACAAGTGTTCTGGGCTAAAATACAAGCTGATGGAGATGGTACTGCTAGAGAGGCAGACAGATCCTCACAGGCCCTAATCACTCAAGGCACCCATCTTGGCCAAACTAAATTTTTACCTGAAAAATAAATTCCTCGAGATACATTTGGGAAGTCCCATAAAGACAAGAGAATTCAGGGAACAAATTTTGACCATCCCAAAGAATCTCCACTCAGGGATCCTTTAGGAGTCTAAATGTTGCTAAACCAAGGGAAAACATTGCTCCAGAAACTCCATATCCCACCAGGCATCCCATGTGCCCCAGATCCAGAATGGGTTGGCCTGAAAGAACAGCTTGCAGTTGAACCAAAGACAGTGCAGCAGAGCTACAGGTGATCAAGTTCCTGAGCAGTACCCCATGCCTACTGGGATTCTGGGATCTCACACCCAGTGGGGGCACGACAGAGGCCCAGGTACTTTCTGTTCAGCTGGAGGCTGGAGTCAACAACCCAGCCTGGAGGGCCCTGAACCTCTTAGACCAGGTCTTTGCAAAAGTGAGGACAAGTCCCTACTTCGGCAGAAAAAACAGACAACCCAGTGACATTCGATGATGTTCAAAGCAGCTGGGAATCACAGAGAAGGGGGTATCTGGACAGCATTGGAGCTCTCCCCAGCCAGACAGAGCACCCTTTCTGCCGAGGTTCAGGGGCGAACGGGGCACATCTAAGCAGAACTCCAGAGCTCACAATTTCCCAAATATATCTCCAGGATCTTTCTCAGGTAAAACTTTAGTCTAGCTAAGATGGTTGCCTTGGGCAGGGACTAGCAAGGATCTGTCTGGATCTGCGGAGTCCCATTTCCATCCTCTCAGTACTGGCTATTGCTCCTTCACCAGCTTCTCCCTAACCTTGAGTTCCAAGAGCATCCTCCAGGATTACTTGGGGCAAAAGACCAGATAAGAATAATTTGCAAAGCTGTTAGAGTAAGCTGAATAACCTCATCCAAACAAGGATTTCTGAGAATGCCAAACCTGGAGTGCCCAGAGCTTAAAGGGCCAATTTACTGGGCCATTAATTGCTGGGCCGAAATTTTGCAAGTACAGTATTTGAAGGGGTAAATTTTTTTCAGATTCAAAGTTTTCAGGGTCAAATGGTTCAGGGCCATGTTTTACAGGGCAACATTTGCAGGGTCAAAATTTGCAGGGTCACACTTTCTAGGAATAAGAGTTGCAGGGTCTGGTAAGGGGAGTCCATACTCACAAGAGCATCATCCTTCCAGAAGCTCCAGAAGTTGGCTTGGATAACAAGATGAAGCTGTTTCTGCACTGGATTAACCCTGAAATGAAAGATCGAAGGCATGAGGAATCCATTCTCCTTTCTAAGGCTGAGACAGTAACCCAAGACAGGACAAAAAACGTTGAGAAGAGTCCAACTGTCACCAAATATCATGTGTGGGGAGCTACAACAGAGAAGACAACAGAGGACCCTGAGGCTCAGCCTCCTTCTACTGAGGAGGAAGGCCTGATCTTCTCTGATGCCCCCCAGTGCCTAAATAATCTGCTCTAGCAACACTCCCTTCAGTCCAGCCAATCCTGGGTCCTGTGCCACTCCTACAAATGTTCCAAACTCTGTCCTCAAATGACTTGTGCCACTCAACCAGGAAATCTATCCCAGGTCTCAACTCACCTCAGCAGAAGGCACTGGTTTATGCAAGAATACCCATTACAAGAAAAAGGAGTTCATAGGTTCCTGAACCTCTGCATCCCCCTGAAAAAGGCTTTCATTGCCATTTCCATTAACATGCAGGTGAAGCAGGGCATTCTCCAAATATACTTTGTACCTTTAAGCAAAGAGCCACCTGTTTGTGCCTCCTCATTTTCAGTGTAGTATATGATAGTCAGAGAAAGAGTAAAGGACCTAAAAAGTATTTCTTATGTGGTATAGAAGCTTAAATCACATTTTATTTCAGATGGGTCAGCATTCCACATGACTCCTCCCAGTCCCACCACAGAATGTGGATAAAGGGACTTGAACAGAGAAGAAAGGCCCTTGTTTTAGGTGCATTGACGGTGAAGGTCAGGCTTGAATTCTATTGTCCCATGGTGTGTTGGGTTCAGAGGATCAACGTGGACATGACGATAGTATAAGAAACAGTGGCCAGGAATCTAATGCATTTTTGGCCCACAGGCAAAATTCATTGATGACTTCTATACAGTATATGCTCACAACCTGCAGGGAAGGTCCTTTAGAGTGCCATGGTGCACCTTCCTTTAGGAATGTTTAGCAGAAGCACACAGCTAATATGACAGATGTCAAAACCAGATGATAGAATCTCCCTGTCTTTTCCCTGTTGTTATTGAGATCTTTAAGGGTAACCCACCTGAGAGCCCACTCTAGTCCTGCTGCCTGTTCCAACCTCCATTGCCTTTCATTTGCATGGAATGAATGCTGCCTAGAATGAAGACTAGTTGATGAAGAGATCCCTAAAAGGGTCAAAATAAAAACAACTTTGGGCTGAGTCTTGCATTCAATAATTCAAATATTCAAGTACTTGCTGTGTGTCGGGCACTGTGCCAGGCACTACAGAGACAACAGTGAACAATACACAGGCCTTGTCTCATAAAGCTCATGAACTCTGGGATACACAGTCATATAAAAAGTCATTAGAAGCAATAAGATGAAAGTACATAGGAGGGTACTTAATCTAGTTTTGGGGGATGTTCATGGAAAGTTTCCTAGAAGAGATGATATGTAGGTTGAGTTCCAAAGGATGAGCAGGCGTTAGTTGGGAAGGAGGTAGGGAGTAGAGAGGCTTCCCCAGCCTGAGAGAACAACACGAACAGAGGCATGGTGTCAAACAACAGCATGCCATGTCAGAGAATAGTGACTCACTGGAGAAACCCCTGTATAATAATTTTAAAAAACACACAGTAAAATGTTTAAGGGATCAGAATGAGGTTGCCAAGCTGGAGAATGAATGGCATTCATTCACCCATTCTTCATTCCTTCAATAAATATTGAGCACCTATTATATGCCAGGCACTTTTATAGGCACCGGGAATACAGCAGTGAACATAAGAGGGAAAAAAATCTGCTCTCTCAAGGAGCTTACGATGGGAGCATGCCTAGGAGGAAGAGAAAAGAAGTATAAATTTAAAACATAGTATATAGAAGGTGACCAGATATATGTAAAAAATCAGGGTAATGGGATTAGAGAAGACTTGAATGGGGGTATAGTTTTAAATAAGGAGCTCAGGGCAGGACTCACTAGGAAATTAACATGTCAGCAAGGACTTGAGGGTGATAAGAGAGTAAGTCACGTGGGTAAATGAGGAAGAGCATTCTGGCCAGAAATTATAGCTAATGCAGATGCCTGGAGGTTGGCGATTGCCCAGTCTGTCAGAAGGAACAAGGAAGCCAGTGAACCTAAAGCAGAGTAATAAAGGAATAAAGGGAGAAAGTGGTAGAGGAGGACTCCAGAGTGGTAAGAGGCCACATGGTATAAGGCCTGGTAGGAAGCCAGCAAGGAAGCTAGCTCTTACTTTGAGTAAATTGGGGAGCTATTAGGGGGTCTGCTTAGATCTGATTTATATCTTAAAAGGATCACTTAGGTCATGGTGCTAAAAATAGAGCATTGGGGGTATAGATTAGAGTAGAAGCAGGGAGATTTAGTTTTAAGGTTACTTCAGTAATTACAGCAGCAGAGGAGATCACAGGCATTTAGACGCTGGGTTCATTTTGAAGGTAGACAATAGGATTTACTGATAGATTGGATGTGGACAATTAGAGAAAAAAAAGTCAAGGATGGCACCAAAGTTTTTGCCCTGAACAACTGGCAGGACAAAGTTGCCATTAATTGATGTGGGAAATACTGACATTGGAGTAGGTTTGGTGTTACTGGGTGATGGTGGGAGAAGGGGAGTCAGGAGTTCACATTTGTATTGTTTGAGATGAATGTATGTTGCTTAAATGAAAGAGATCTAAGGACTGGTCTTTGGGACTCTTTAATGTTAAAAGATTGAGAAGAGGAGGAAGAACCGGTAGGCAGAGGAGACTGAGACACAGCAGCCAGAAAGACAGAAGGAAAGCTAGAAGAGCGGCATACTGGAAGCCAAGAAACAAAAGTGTTTCAAGGAGAAGGTGACCAATGGAATGACAAGTTGCCAATCAGTCAATTAATATGAGGACTTATAGTTGACCATTAGATTTAGCAACATAGAGATCACTAATGACCCTGAGAATAGCCTCAGGTGAGTAATGGAGGAATGGACACGACTGGAGTGGATTCAAGAGATAATGGAAGAAGAACAGTTGGTGACAGCAAGCGAAATCAACTCTTTCAAGGGCTTTTGTTTCATAGAGGTGCAGGAGGGGAGAGTGGGATCCAGAATGAGTTGTTTTTTTTTTTTTTTAAGACAGGAGATGTAGTCTGTTGGATGGCTGGATGGTGATAGAAAAGATCCAGTCAAGAGGGATAAGCAAGACAGCAAGGGGAAAATTTCTGGAAGAACGTTGTTGTGTGGAAGTGAAGAAGTGGGGGGCACGCACCCAAATCAAGGAGCTGGCTTTTACTAAAAGCAGACATTTTTCCTGTGGTAGAGAGAAGTAGAGTTAGTGATGGAGGATATAATGGATTAGAAGAAGAAATAATTCCTCCACATATAAGGGAGTGTGGGCACAGACCAAGAGGGACAAGTGAGGAGCTAGGAAGGGACTATGGCTATGGGTAGGGGGAATGGTATGGAGAACCAAAGCCAGAAAGCTGGGTGTGGAGAGAGATTCTGAAAGTTACTATTAGGGCCCAAGCAGTTGGTGGCAGTGTGAGAGTGTAGGTGGGCAGGGAAAGGTGGTCAAAGCCTACTGCTGATATCTATGCAGCAGGTGCTCTTGGAACATTGCACCAGCAGGAGAGATCACAGAGAAAGCTCTAAATTCATGCAGCCTGAGCAAGAGCATGGGGCTGCAGATAGAGAAACAGGGCAGGGGTGGCTTCCTAGTACTCAGTGAGGTAAGGGACCAGGGAGTCTATATGAGTGGGAGGAGTGGACTGGGAAGCAGAAAGACAAAGAGGCTGCCCTGAACAGTTGGGAGGGACCTCTGCTTTGGCCACCTGATATCCCTCAGAGGGTGGCACTTTTGCATTCTGCTTCCAACCTACCACAGAGGAGCCAAGAGCTAAAGAAAGGGCAAGAAGTGAAATGACTTCTTTATGACATGTTGTGAGGGACAGTTGGGATGCCCCTGGTTCCTAAGGAGATCCAGGATTACCCATCATCCTATCATCAGAAGGAGGAGGTGGCAGGACTTTCTTCCTCAGACAGGACCCCAGCATTTAGCATAATGTTTCCACTTCTGAAAGGATGCAGAAAGCCCAGATAGGAAGAAGCATGGATGTGTCGGTCCTCTGAATGATGATTCTGTGCCTAAGGGATGGGGGCCCAGTCCCTGCAAGGCCTCCAGGCCATGGAGGCGCAAGGTCTAGGCCTACTGAGCCAACACTTAACAGGTGTTTGCCTAAAGCATCCCCAAAGATCAAAGGAGGTTTTGTGTTAAGCCTGCCTAGTGGGAGTTGGGCAGAAAGCCATGTAGGAGGAAGACACAGAGTGAAAGAAAGTGACTCAGAAGGGTCACAGCAGCATAATGTGGGAATCTGGGGTTAATGTGCATACATCTTGGTTTAGGGTGGGTGGAGCAGGTCCTACCCATGCTCCCCCACAGGCTCCTACATGCCCCCCAGATTTCGATTATGGTAATTTCAGGCAACTGGCCACCAGGATTGCTTGACTTTTGTACCTGCTCACCCCTAGCAGGGAAGTCATAGAATATGCTGAGTGCAGAAGTGAATGTGGAAGCACCACCTTGCTTTGTTCAGTCCTGTCATGCCACCCTCTTGCCACCCTCCAGGGACTGGGAGTCCCTGAGCAGGAGCAGAAACTTGCTCTGCTCAACAGTCCATGTTGTTGGAGATCCTCAGACACAAGGGCTCAGTTATCTCCACTCATTCACTCAAATACTAGTCCCTCTCCTCTATGGGGCTTGGGGTAAAAGTCTAGAGGGACAGAAAACATCCTCTGCTCCTAAATTTCCACATGCTCTGAGTCTCATCCTCTTTCAGCAGCCTCATGATCCTTTAGTTAACCTTCCCATCATCACCCTATATTTGTCCTTGCCTGTCCAGGCTGAATCCCTGGAGAGACGTTAATACTGTATGAATACAGTAGTAAAAAAAGCCATTATAAAAATACTTATATTGTGGTCCTATTTAAAAAAAAATTT